ATAAAAAATATGCACAAGAAAATATTTTTTTAAATAAGAAGTAACAAAATTACTTTAACTCACTGTCAAAGTCAAAAAAAGTCAAAAAAAAAAAAAGGCAGATCTTACAAACCATAATTAATTACACTGGCACAAAGTTAACAATGCCTGCATTGATGAGGAAGAGGTATTTTCACATGCAATTGGAAAAAAACTGGATAAAGCCTTTCCACAGGACAAGTTTTATCAATATTTAAAATATATGCTACATGATAATATTATAATGAAAGACATTGCCATCTGACAATTAAAAATATAAGAAAGAAACCATGTTTTGCATTAACCAGGTTCACCCTGCCGTGCCATGTGGTCAAGCTGTACCTTTCTCAAGCCCATCTGCCTTGGCTTCAGTAAACTACCCTCCTCCAATTCTCCTCGTCTCTCTGACCAGCCCTTGTAGATAAGTACTTCTGACATCCATTCTCATCTCTTTGAGAACTTTGCTTTTAGCTCTACTATTCTTCTCCCTCAGCYCTCAGGTTTTACCCCAAAATCACATGTGCAATTCCAGCCACCAGTCATGAAAGCTACTATGGTCTGGACATGTTCTGAGTGTCTCCCAAAGGTTTATGTGCTAGAAGCTTGGTCCCCAGTCTAACAGTTTCGAGGGGGTGGAGTTTTAAGAGGTGAGACCTACTGGAAGGTGATTAGGTCATGGGACACCACCCTGGAAGGGATTAATGTAGTTCTCACAGGATCAGGCTGATTCTCACAAGAGTGGATTGTTCTGACGTAATGGCCCTCCATGTGCTTGGACTTTTCTACACATGGCCATTTCTCTTTCCACTTTCCCACCATGTTTTGACATAGTCATGGAGGCCCTTGCTAGATGGCTGGCACCAGGTTGCACAGACTTTCCAGCAACAAGAATTGTGAGCCAAATGCCTCTTTTATTTACAAAGTACCCAGGCTCAGATATTTTGTTACACCAACGGTGTTATCAAGTCTTCTTATATTTCAGCAATATTATTTGGCTGATAAATTAACAGCAAGTTGAGAAACAGCTAGATATTATTTTTTTAAAAATCCCCAAGGTACACGATATTTGCCACTCCTTACTGTTATTTTCTCTTCAGTCCTGGTCTCCACAACGTACAAAAACTATGGAAAGGACTAGGAGAGAGCTCACTAGATACCAAGATGGCAATGTGAAGCTTACAGATCAGGGTAAAGCATAAATTGCCTTCCTGAGAAAGAAACAGCTGACAAAACATAATACAGTTCTGAGAGCACATAAAAGATTGCACATGAATTGATAAGCCCCTTTCATCTTCGGCTAGGAACTAAAGGGGATGATTGGTCTAAGTTTTGGGCTACATAGAACAGCTTCCACTTAACCCACAAAGATTCCTAAAAAGAGCTGACAAAGAGTAAATCATTTCCCTCCACTCACTATCATGGTTGGAGCAATTACTAGCTTTGATGCCTGACATTATCCTTACTGCTATTAGATAACATCCACTATCTTAGCAAGGTAAATCCTGACTGRATTATACTGCACAAGATATATGAATGCCAAATTTTATGTTATACTATGTACTTTACAAAAACTTTTTAAAATATTTTATCAAAAACAAAATATATAAAAACTGCTGGAAACACACAAAAATGGGCAGATTGTTAAGATAAAGAGAACTATTTTAAGACTTGTTTTGGACTGCTACATACAGACTGAATGCCGAAAAGACTTGGCTCCTGAAATAAGGAACAGTGTCCTCTGAGTGAAAGTCAGCATGGCCAAAGAAAATGGCAAGATGATTCTCCTCTGAAGATCAAACACCAGTTGATAGTCTCAGAAATTAGAAAAAAATAATAAAAATAACTGTTACTTACTGAGCCTCTGTTTCTAATCAAGCACTGTACTGTGCTTAGTACTTGTAAATATGCTGCCATGCAACTCTCCCTAAAGAGGGTRTTGCTTCTGTTCCTTAAGATTGCAGATACCAGGGCTCAGAGACACAACTCCATCACAATGTCAGCAAGAGATGAGATCAGGATCTGAGAGAGGTTCTGACTCCACAGCCCATAGCTTTTCTATTACAATGATGATTTCTATTCAGTTTTTACTGGACTTAGAAAGAGGACTGAGTAATCTCCCTTTCCCCAATGGAGTATCTCTTCTGTGGATGCAATGAACAAAATCTTTCATCAATACATTACAATTATATCCTTCAAGATTGACCTCAAAATTCACTTTCCTGAAGAACAGAAGGAAAGTGACATTTGCAAACAGTATAGAACCATTTACTCTTCTAGGTAGTTTTCCAGGATTCATACTCGCCTTAATGAATACAGTGATAAAAATCTACCAAAGAAYATATATACGTATTCATGTTACTTTCTCTTCCTTACATGGTGCCTTGACACCATGAAACCTGTACTGAAAATTACAGGTTTACAGAATATCTACTGCACACAAGGAAACAGTCTAAGTACTATGCAAAATGCTAAAAGATTAGAATCTATACTTCTTGCCTCTAAACGCTTGTAATTTTAGTATCAGAAGCAACTTGCAAAGGACACTGAAGAGAAAAGGTGACACACACACACACACACAAATTAACATAATGTAAACTGAACATTTAACATGCTAAGGAAATAAAGTCTTTATTTGCCAAGTGAAACTCCTGAAAGAAGTGTGTGTTGATCACTGTTTAGACAGTCCATAAATGATTGTTAGAAACACCAAGACCTTCTTAGATAATCAATAGAAACTTATTCTTAGATTCATTTAAAAATACTATAAAAACTCTAAAAATTACCAAAGGCTTAGTTTATGAAATATGTAGCTGTTAATAAAGTAATAAGGTTTTTAAAAAATATTTCTCAGTAATGTGGGTATCAAGACTCCTTCCTTTTCTTGTTACCACCATCTTGAATACCACCTTGGCTCAATTTTTTTCAGAGCAGGAAGCTGTTATACCAAGACAAAAGCTAGCATCATAAATGCAATCAAGGTCTAAACACACAAAAACTATACTACCAAAGTCAAGGCCAGACAGGAGAGACAAAAGAAGAGAAGGATAAATAATACCCATTAATACATAAAGGAAAGTATGTTTTCTAAAAGGCAGAGATCGTGACTACAGGCACACGTCTCCCTCCTAATAACTGGGGTTGTGAGGTGGGTAGAGCACATACACTGTCCTGGCTGGTATTATAGCCATGATGATTCGTTCTGGGATTCATATTCTTAGGATTTCAAATCAAATACACTCCATATATCAGATGGTTTGACTGTTATCCTGCTTATTTTTTAATCCGATAAGACCATAATAAGCCAAGTCAATGTAGACTTGATCTCCTCCTCCACGTTGGGTCCCCTCTTTCACTTTCCACAAATGCCCAGACAGCTCAGAGATATGGCATCTTCACTCAATTTCTTGTCCCTCTTATTTTAATCCATTCAAAACTTCTGTGATAAAAGAAATGCCAGACCTCAGTCACTTTAGTCCCTCTTTGGGGAAATAAAATTGATGTTTTTCATTTTCACACAAGAGGATAGAACAAATATTCTGAGGAACAATATTATGTCCAGTCTTACCCATTTAAAAAAAAAAAAAAAAAAAGTAGGCAACATTCTTTGCAGTACTAGAGGCTGAAAGGTTTTGTGGAGTTCTCAGGCTGAAGAGTTCAGCCTTATGTCATTAGCCTGTAAGTGTAACAAGTATGACGGTGACTTCTGAGCAGGAGATGAAGTGCTGTGGAACATCCTCTCAGTCACAGTGGAAGTCAGCTGGGGTTGCAGGGGAGTTGGGGAAGGGAACAGGGGAAGAACCAGCTCCACATTCTCACTAGTTACTCCAGTCATATCCTTTCCCCTCTCTCCCTGTCACAGCTGATTAAATGAATCAAGGGTTTTCTGCCTCTGATCTTTTACTTGAACGTGAAGAATATCTGAGGGCTGGGGCTACAGCTCAGTGGCAGAGCATCTAGCTATCATGTGTGAGGCACTGGGTTTGATCCTTACCACCCACATAAAAACAAAACAAATAAAGGAATTCTGTCCATATACAACTACAAAAAATATTTAAAGAAATGTTTGAGAGCAATTTCATCATGAAAACAACAAAAGAATAAAACTACAGAATTTCAGAGGCCTTTAAGCACTTTCTCCATTTCCAATTGAATTTTGTAAGTTTTGTAGAATTTCAGAAAGTTATTTTAAATAATGATTTAAACCTAAAGGGAGAATACAAAATATTAGAACAGTAGCTTTTTAAAAACAATCTTGGAGCTCGGGTTGTGGCTCAGTGGTAGAGCGCTTGCCTTGCATGTGTGAAGCATTGAGTTTAATTCTCAGCACCACATATAAATAAATGAGCAAAATAAAGGTCCATCCACATCCAACATCTAAAAAGAATATTTTAAAAAACAATCTCACCTGAGGCAGCAGTACCTTAACAATAACAGAAGCTGAGGTGCTATGGTGGGAGGGAAGGTGTGGGTATGAAGTCCTGCAGCGAGTATCCCGGGCCCCAGACCCAATCCCACCTAAAATACCTGTTCTGTCAAACCCATCTAGCCATGGACATAGAGGACAGAACACATGCACCCACTATCCAAAAACCTCCTACTGGCCCAAGCATTGCCAGAAAAGCTTCCAGAAGTCTCTCCTGGCTTCCGTGGGAAGAACATGCCCCTAACCGAGTCTGCTTTCCATGTACAGCAGGGAGTTTCAAAGGTATCTCCACTTCTCAAGTGTTCCCTGTCCCTTCTCATTCTTCACATTTTTGCACATAAATATGGTAAAAGGCATGTTGAATAGTTCTATATTGCATTCTAAATATTAAGGTGCATAATTTTCCATATTTTCCCTAAGTTTTTTCTCCCTTGGGTTGTATTTGGTAGTTGATACCCTGAAAAACTTCTTCCACAACACAGAAAAATGCAGTCTCCATCTCAAAGCACAAATCTCCTTAAATAAAAATCAAAATCACTTATTAACCATGAGAACTAACCTGCAGACACGAGCTGGAAAATACAACTTTTGCCAAGACCGACATAGATATTGCGAATGATCTATCACTCTGATCCAATCAAGTTCATCCATTGACACTTCAATAAAGTAGGAATAAGACCTATGAATCAAAAGGGAAAAGACAGGGGGAAAAGACATTAAAACAACAATACTAAGCTATACTTAAATAAAATGTTAAAAAGTACTAAAAATGTAGAATTAACTAATTGTATTTTCTGTACAACAAATTTTTATAACAATGAAAATTACGTATATCCCTCTTTTGTATCATTCACCACAGTGTATTAGAATTCTCTCTCAGCTCGTCTGTCTGCCTCATCAAATCACAAACTGCTTAAGAACAAGGACCACAGCTCAGTAAATATCAAAAGCAAGCAAGACATTTGTTCCTTTTCAAATATGGCCAGGATGYCTTGGTCACACCATATTAGCAGATTAATAGAGCTGATAGGGAGAAGAGAGGGGAGGAAAAAGAAAACAGAGAAGCACTAAGTCCCTGGCCTAGTGCTTAGCCCTCCCCTCTTGGGGGAAAGCCAACTTGGAATGGTTCCCCACAGAGGCTAGTGTATATCCTGCCGCCTCTCTGTCTCCTACCATCCAGCACACACATGCAGCCTGCAAAAAAATAAATGATATGGGTGAAGAGATAATGAGTGTTTCCTTTGGATACAACTTAAACCTAGCCAGCTAATAACCTAGCAGTAATGAAAATAGCCCATCATCCTCCCCAAGTCAGCTACCCTGCACCATTACATGCTGGTCCCATACTCGACAAATCTATATTCCTTGTCATAAAGCCAAATTTAAATTTGCGATGCAGTTATTACTTGTACTGTAATATCAACAGGAACAATCTTGGAAGATTTAGGTGACCATAAATGTCAGCCTGCAACCTACAGTTGTGACCAGAAAAGGTCAGCTTATTTTGTGTCATCCCCTCAWTTTCTGCTGTACCCTCACCTCCCATTCATTTTATCACTCAGTCTCAAACTGGTTATAACCTTTTATTGAACCTCTCTAGGTTATCAGTAATCCRGGATATAATTTTACAACATGTCAAAATCTTTTTGGCTTAAGATTTTGAATTTTTCACCTCTGCTTATAATGATAACAATTTTTGTGAGAAAAGAACAACAGTTCCATGGTAAAGTTAAGCCCCAGTGAATATAACACAGATATTTAAACAAAGTGGCCTATTTTAATATTATGAAAACAATGATAAGTACTCTGTGYTTCAAACACACAAACCATTTATCTTATTAATTTGTACTTTTGTACTAATTTCATCATTAATTAGATGAGCAAATGTTCAAGCTTTTAGAACTATGCCTACCACATACAAGTAATGAAAAGTTTCATATAAATATTATCATTATATTGTTATTATTAATCAGAGACTCTTGGAAATGAGATGTGAGTTAGCTCCACTTTTACAATTAAACATCAAATCATATCCACCAAGACACATGTCAGGATATATATTAATAAAAAGGAAACCAAAAGTGATAACCCAGGGACCTTGTCCATCCACACACCTGCAAATCCCGGCTCATCTCAGAGAGATTCCCTGATACATGACTCAAATAGCCCAAGAGGCAAGGGCAGTGGCCTTGCAGAAGAAACACACTATGCCCCGTGAGGATTTCAGGGCATCATCACCATTACTAGTAAGCCCTTCATGACCAGGCCAAAAAGGCAAAAATAGGGCCCCTTTCCTGGGAGGGAGGGTTTAGGTCAATGATAAGCAGCAGCAAGACAATTCAGTTCTGATACTTCTGCCATCATGGATGGACCCTAGAAGCCACTGTGGGTGAAAGTATCCCAGTGGCTGGAAGGCAGAATCCTGAAACCACTGAGGAACATGGGTCCCAGGCTGGAGCACAACAAATTTTTTCACAAATTTCTTTTGTTTTGAGGAGGATATTTATCCACATACTAAAWGACAATTTCTTCATCCATAGGATAAAATGCATGTAAAAGGTTGTTATAATATCCAAAAGTAAGGAATTGAGTGAACAATGTTAACCTAAAAGGTACAATATAAGACTACCATTGAAAGTAACATTTTAGAGGAATATCCTCAAAAAGGTAGAATGTTTAAAATGTATTAATTAAAAAATGAAGTTAACTTTTGTAAATCCTATCTTTATCTTTATTTTGTAACACTATATATGCAGGTGTTATGAGTATGTGTGTGTGTGTGTGTGTGTGTCTAGGCGATTTAAACACACTAGTTAAATACATGCAAAACTGAATAATGGGTGGAAAGATTACTAGCAATTTTTATTTTCTTCTGAGTACTTCTTGATATTTTCCACAATAAACACATATTCACTACTTTTTTAAGTAGGAAAAAAAAAAAACAAAAAAACCTAACTTTGTGGCCATCTACTTTGGTTTTACAGATTTTAATGATTCATTTTAGTCATCATTCTGATGTTTATCTTGAAGCTAGTTCTGTGGGAGGAGCTTCAAGATAAACATCAGAATGATGACTAAAATGAATCATTAAAATCTGTAAAACCAAAGTAGATGGCCACAAAGTTAGGTTACCTCCATCAAACATAAATATCCATTTCTCTCTAATGACTCACCGGCTGTCCCGGTCCCACAGGAGTATCCGTATATGATTGATAATGGACGGCTGGCCTAGCTTAATCTCAATGCCTGAACGGCAGTCATCATCAATTGGGTGCCTAGAAAATCCGTGATCCAAATCATAATTTTGAGTATCACCATCTAATAAGGCAGACTTCAGCTCCCCTTTTACAACTTGGGCTCCATACTTCATAGTTGCGATGTTTTCTTCTGGAACTTCAATTAAAAATAGAAAAAGCAAGGTTAATGGTTACTTATTAAATAATTCTATATTTTGGGGGGAAAGATAAAATTCTAGGKTTTAAATGATTCTCTTATCTGCATTTAATTTTAAAATGGCATAGACAAGTCTATGAGGGTAGAAGATACAGAAGATCTGTAAGGATTAAGACAATATCCAAAGTTCTAATGAAATGTCACTATCACACCTAYGATGTGCCTGGAACTAAATCTTTTTAAGAAAAAGTTAATAATATTAGAAAAGGCATGTACTGGGATAAACCAATCATCTCTGCTGAATTCATTCTGTTAGTAGCTTTAATTTAAGATTTACAGGACAAAGATAGCACGTAGAATGACCTGTACTGCCATCTGGACTAAGAGCAACATACAAAAGCAAAGCAAACAGGTCAGACATCTAATAAGAGAAGAGAAAGAAGGGTTCCAATGTAGCATAGCTAAGAGACACACATGGACATGTTAGATCACTTCATCTAGCTAAAAACCAAGACTACGTCTAGAAGAAAATATATTTCACCTCACTTGAGAATTTTTTTAAATGAAAATTCAGAGTCTGTCATCAAAATCAGTATTATGATTATTATTAATCCCTCTCTCCCTTCTCCAATATCAGATTTATTAAACATCTATTGTGCCTGGGACTTCAAAGTTTACTATGCAAATTATGTTCCACAGCTCTGGAACCTGTCTCCCAGATACTAACATTCTAAAACTGACACTCTCATAAAAAGAAAAGAGGCTGCATGTTAAGAGGCTGAGGAGGCACAGTTTAGACATGGCTCCACCTTTAACCACGTATGTCATTTCAGGGAAGATACCCTCTTAAACTTCACTTTCTTAAGAGGATAATACTACCCTGTCTGTTTAAGGATTGAATGAGGTGATGCTTGTAAAGCAGATAGTATGCTCTTAAAAACTGCCATTACTATTATTAAACATATATATAAAAACACACAATAAGCCAACTATACAAGTTTATAGACTGTAAGTAAACACCAAATCCTCATGGCACGCATATGTCTTGGCTGTGTGATTTGAAGAAAGGTAAAGTGTGAGCTATAATCAAAGTGTTAGGGGAAAGATGGTAAGTAATTCACCACTGCACATTTCTTGGAAAATTGGTTTTTCAAAACATTTAGAATGGGGACCAGTAAAAAGCGTGGCTCCAGAAGAGGACAATAAATACAGCTGAAAAGTGGAGGGTGGAATGGGATCTAAGCAACTAGCCTGAGACTGAGGAGAAGCAGCAACCACAACTGCAATCACTCTCAGCTGCTTGCCATCAGAAGCTGAGTGGCACAGACTGATGACTTTCTAAGGTCTGTTAGCTTACGATAATCATGCACGTTCTTCCTGTTCATTTAACAAACCTTGTGTAATGCRTATACTAGGTGCTACACACTGTTCTAAGCACTTGACAAATACCAAATCCTTTGAGAACAGTACTTCTAACACATCCATTTTGCAGATGAGAAATGGAGGCAGAGAAAAGTTAGATGCACTTGCTTGCCCAAGGTCATACAACCAGCAAGTAGCAAAGCTGAGGTCAGAATCCAGGCAGTCTGTCTGCAGAGCCCCACGTTTAACACAGTGCTGTGCTGCCTCCCTGTGAGGTTTCTGATGGCATGGCCACACCTTTTCTCTTTCTAACCCCCACTTCCCTCCAAGGTTGCTTAAGACCCAGAGGAAAGAAACAATCTCGTACAGATTTTTTAAAAAAATAAAAATGGKAATTGGGATTTTTTTTAAATATTTTTTTGTAGTTGTAGATGAAGTGCTGAGAATCAAACCCAGTGCCTCACACATGCTATGCAAGTGCTCTACCACTGAGCCATGATCCCAGCCCAAGAAGTGGAATTTTAAAGTGAAAAAAAAAAAAATCTAGATTTGAGATTCAGACCCTATTATTCACTGTCCTTCAGTGAGGCTTCTTAGTCTCTCTAAATCTGTTTTCTTGGTTGAACCAGGGTTACTTTACCACTGAGCTACATCCCCATCCTTTTTAATTTTTGAGATAGGGTCTCACTAAGTTGCTAAGGCTGGTCTTGGCTTCCACCATCACTGAGATTCTAGGTATTTGTCAACATACCCAGATAAATGTGTTTTCTTATCTAAAAATAATAAATAATCTTTTTCTAACCCATCTCCTAGGGTCGCTGTAAAAACAAAATTATACTACAAGCAACATATGCTAAAGTACTGTGTAAGTACATAGGCTTCATTTCAATCAAGAAGTTTATGAGGGGCTGGGGTTGTAGCTCAGTGGTAGAGCACCTACCTAGTATGTGTGAGGCACTGGGGTCAATYCTTAGCACTAAGTAAAAATAAATAAAGGTATTGTGTCCACCTACAACTAAAAAAAAAGTTTAGAAAAAAGAAAAAGATATTTATGARAACTCATTTGATACCAGGTACTGTAAAAAGCAGCACTGGGAGTGACTTGGTGAATCAGACCAAGATGGGTCCTTCTGACCCCTCCAATCTAGAGATGAAGTACTTTATAAGCAAGCAAACAAGGCTTCAAATTTGTGCTTTTCAATATCATTAATCACTTGGTTAAAAAAAAAAAAAAAAAAATATATATAATATATATATATATATATATATATATATATATATATATATATATCATTAACCACTTTGTCCCTCCTTGCTGGGAATAAAATGTGGAGGCACAAAATCTGTGGTTGCTGACCACTGGAACCATCTCCTCTATTTCTGACACCACCAGGAGATAAATTTAAGCCAAAGAGGGGAACATCAAGCTTTCAGATTTAGAGACTGATGCCACCTTTGATTTTCTCTTAACATAAAGTTCTTCAGCAGTAAAATTTATCAAGCTAGGAATAATACACTAGGCMCAAGAGTTTCAAATGACTGTAACTCAAAGTCTAAATAGAAATGAAATTTCTTTCACAAGTACAGATCTTCTTTTGAAGTTCATTTCAAAAGTACTTGAGAACTTTTCTAGCCATTCTTGATAGATTCATTCTATGACAGTATCTTTTGCTTCAAAATGGAGAACACTTATACAAGTGGAAATTCTCTCATGGTAACTAGACTGAGTATCTTTCTGGAAAAAATATAACTCCCAGTATTTTATGAAAAATCTACAGTTAAATAATGAATTCAGTAGGAAAAGTGATTATGAAAAAAATTCAAATCATAAAAAATCCAAACCATGAATTTTCTTAGTAACCTCTATTGGTAGAGAAAAGAGTTCTCAAAAAATACAAGCTGGTAGGGAACAAATAAGATAGTAGAGAGAAGTCATGATTTCCTTTATACTTATAATTTTAATGAATTTTATAAATACTAAAAAAATTATTGAAACCCTATACTAGTAGAAACAAATCAATTGTAAGAAAGGAAAAATGGGGCAGGACCTGTCCCTAGATACATAGTGCCAAAATCTGAGTGGTGCTGGAGTAGTATCCTGTGTGTTTAATATCTTTTTGTTCTTCATCAACTTTTATTGGACTCTCTATTACATGTAGCTTCAAAATAGATTATATGGATCCAGACTTAGTTCTCTGCTCAATGGAATCTCCTTACCMAATTCTGTCACCTAAATCATCTTCTACTCCCCCATCCTGATTTCCCTAAAGAATGTGTGAATCCTCCTCCCTATGATACTCCCCATAACAAACACAGCATTACAAATGACTTTCTTAACAACTCCTGTCTTACCTTAGTTTTCTCCATTATCCCCACTCTCTACAGGCCTCCTTTCCACATTCACCAATACTAGTACTCGAACACACCACAAAGTGGAAATTTAAAAGATCCGCAGCAGGAGAAACTAAGGAAGAGTACTGGCCTCAGGACGCAGAAGTCCAGCACTTTTATTTTAGCTTAGGCACTGACTTTACTTGGTAACTTTGGATAGTTACCTAGAAAGATTCTAGAACTAAATGTGAACTTCATTCTGTTTATTTAAACAACAAAAAACGACAAGACCTGAGCTGCCTACTATGTGCCTGCTGTCCTGGACCCAGCSCTCTGGAGCTCACCATCTCATGAGACAAGAGAACAACTATGCACACTAAATACCTCTGCAGAGAGGGGCTCATTAGAGACAATTCACGAATCCCTAGTTGASAGGATTTCCACAACACAACAAACTACAGCTGGGAAGATACAACAGCAACAAAAGTCCAAGAGCTTTAAAAGCATGATAGGTTCAGTATTCACTATCTTTCTGTGATGATGAAGCAAATTCTAGTTTAGAAATCAGGAAAGGATTCATTTATTTATTTTAAAAGTCTATATTCAGGGATTATGCTAGGTGCTGGAAAAATGCAAAAAAAAAAACCAAAAAAGACATAATTAAGTCCTTAGGAATTTCAGTCCAATAGGAGCCTAGGCAAGTAAACAACTAGAACATCACAGTAGCAAAGCTCCCCATCTGATGACTAGAACTATGGAAACAGGCACAGGGTGAACGGACAAATTTAAACACACACACACCAATAAATTGACTTTTGCCCAATACAAAAATCTTGAAAATAGAATTTGTGATGTAGCTCCGTTATAAATAGGCAGAAACAAGAAATTACTGTTCTCTTTCCCAAAGTCTAAAGCCTGATATATACAAAACAAAGTAGCTCAGCCTTAATAGAAAAAGCACTAACTTTCAAGACAGAAATCTCTCCATAGCCAAGATAAAACCAAATGTTGAGATGTTACAGGTATTTCAAATAGCCTAAGGAAAAAAAATAATTTCATTAAAAAGTTAATTTCTCTCTCCCAGCCGTATAGATAAATGCTCATCATTATATATGCATAAAACTAGTCTAAACTACTTTCCAGAAAGACCAGTCATCACTGGTAAGTTAAAAATATCCCCTGGATCTTCTTTTTTTAAGGAGGAAAAAATATCTCTTTAATTTTATAAAAGCTTCAGGACATGCATTTTTAAGAATTAAACCTTGTACTAATCAAATATAATGAATTCAGAGAAAAAGCATTACAGTCCATGCTCCTGTCCCCAAGGTAGGACCTCCTTCCATTTCATGAAAAGTCCCTAAAGACACAAAACATAGGGCCAGGGAGGAGCAAACCAAACAAATAAATTCTGTCAATAATTCCAAAGTAAGCAGACCTATTTTTTCAAACCATCAGAAACAATTCTGAAACTTTAGAACTTTTCTCCTAATTGAAGAAATTTGATAAAAAATAATGCTAGGGGGTCTGGGGTTGTGGCTCAGTGGTTGAGCACTCATCTAGCACATGCGAGGCCCTGGGTTCGATCCTTAGCACCACATTAAAAATAAATAAATAAAGGTATTGTGTCCAACTACAACTAAAAAAATAAATATTTTAAAAAGTAATAATAATGCTAGGGCTGGGTTGTGGCTCAGAGGTACAGCACTCACCTACCATGCATGAGGCACTGGATTCAATCCATAGCACCACATAAAAATAAAATATTTTATCTACCTATAACTAAAAAATAAATTTTAATAATAATAACAACRACGACGACGACATGAATGTTTGGATAATGACTTAGAAAATAATTAACATCTTTATGCTATGCCTCCTTAGTATTTATATTATTGATTTTACTATTCAAACACTTGAAAAGTCAGGGAAAAAAACAGCTTGCTATTTAATCATTATTCAAGTTTAGAAGCTAGATAAAAGATTACCAAACATTTACATTATCTGTTCCTGGAGCTCCCCCCTGAATTACTCCAACATGAAGAATTGAACATTGATGAACAATAATCATAATCAGTGCATCATTCTATAACCGAGTGCCTCTCCTGGCTGATTATGCCTTTCACAGGTAATCTCATGGGTTTATTACAATGCAGATCTTATACCTATTTGTACCAGCTGAGCAAATCCAAGCTACCAGTAACTATGTGAAATGTCCAAAGTACCGCCTCATTCCTGCAGCCATGTCCTAAGCCTGTCCCCTTAACAAATCCAATTCCAAGGTCCTATCAACAGCTCAGATCAAATCTAGAACAAGAAGGGATGGCAGGGAGTTTCCATAAGAAAGAATACAACAACAAGGATTTGAAAGTCTAAAATTAACTACTACCCCACCCTCCATCCACCCACACTTCAACCAAGGCTGATCCTCAGCCAGCACCTCTTCCTGGACCCTCCCAACCTGTTTTCTGCCACTACCACAGTATTTCTCTACCACCTTTTACCCTACATATCAGATAGCTGACACATCCTATCTGCTGTCTGTTCAAACATACATGGCCTAATTCCCTGTGTAGCCAGGCTTCCGTTCAGACTACTTACCAACTCACAACTTTACAGCCAAAGCCTCCTCTCAATTCTTACTGGCCTTGACCTCCAAGCATCATGAGATGCCATAAACCACGCCCTTCATATAAAAGCTCTCCCCTCAGTCTCTATAGCAGTCCTCTGTCTCAGTGGTCTCTCCACCTCTCCAACCCTTCCTTCTCTACTGTATGGCCCCTAGCCATAGGTCTTCCCCATGTCTCAGACTTTGATTTTTATTTCTTTCTCTATATTCTAGTCCAGGTTTCAATTCTTTTTATCACCAGCTTTGACTGCTTCCTAAACAACAGTAATGTGTTTCCACTTCCTATCAGATATTTCTTTTTAATTCAGTTACCAAGAGTCTGCTATATGCTATTCAGTGTGTTAAATGGTAATGACACAAAGATCAATGAGATCTACAAAGATCATCTCTGCCTTCAAGGATCAAGACATGTAAACAAATATGTTTAAAATAATGTGATCAATGGGACAACTCCCACACAGATGTTGAGGAAGAACATATCAACACTACCACAATGGCTTTCTATATTGAGCTTTCTATACACACATTATTTTTGCACATTATTTGTACACTTTATTTCAATTAATTCTTGTAACAATAGTAGGAGATACAAAAGTAAAACTCTTCTATTACCAGATCATATAACTGGTAAATGACTAATTCAGGATTAGAAATAAAGTTTGTCTGGCCTCAAAAATCAATACTTTTTGTCTATGCCTAGTGAAAAGAAATCTAGATCTGATGAGTCAGGAGATGAATCCAGGCTAAGGATACCTGTTTAAGATCAATCAGTATTTCAAGCATGTCTAACACCATGGTCAAGGAAGAGATCACTAGAGAAATGACTAACATTAGACAGAATTTACAGCTTAAATGTCCCAGAAACCCTCAAATGCAATAAATCAAAAACCAAGCTCAGCCTATATTTCATTAACTCTAAGGAATGTCTTTCAAATTTCAACAATTCTGAAATTAGGATATCATGGAGTGCCATGATTTAATTGGCAGTATTCTTTTCTTTGTGGTACATAAAATAATAATGCCTCAGAATTTCTGGCTTCTTCAATTTGAAAAAAATATGTTAACTTTATCCTAAATTTGGTACCCAACTTTAAATCCCTTGAATCACTAAAATCTAATATTTTTCCATAATATCCCTCCTATACATCCATTATTTTCCATTTTTTCCTGACACCACCTGGTATAACACTGTTATCAATTGTGTACAGATTAAAAGCCCTCCTCACTGGTTTTCCTAAATTCAGTTATTYCCTATTCCAAATCATCAAGGACAGCACCACAGATCAATCTGCCCAGACCTCAACTGTGCACCTGCTGCTGTCCCTCTGCGCTTCCCATGCATAACAAGGACATTCCAAGCAGTTTCAAAGACTTCCATGATTTGGCTTGAAATGACCTATACATAATTTATTATTAATCAACATAAGCCTTCTATTCTTTTTTATTATTTTTTAGTTATAGATAGATAATACTTTTATTTACTTATTTTTATGTGGTGCTGAGGATAGAACCCAGTGCCTCACATATGCTAGGCAAGTGTTCTACCACCCACTGAGCCACAACTCTAGCCCCATAAGCCTTCTATTCTAATCAGGCTCTTCTAGATGTGGCCCCTCAAATGCTCTAACCTCTATCTAATTAGCCTCATTGGTCTTCCCACCTGAATTCACCCAAAACTGATGCCATTCAAATCAAACTTGAGCTTCATAAGCTCCATGAAATCTCCCTCATTCTAAGCCACTCTCTCTGAAATGGCATAGCATGTACCCTCTTGAACACTGTATTTAAGTTTCCATGCAAGTTATATCTTATATCACAATGAAATTAAAAGGATCAAAGGTAGAGACTGTTTTTTCACACTTATGCAGCATAATTTAGTGGTTACTTACACAGACTCTGAAGTCAAACTACATAGGTTTGATTCTTGGCTCCTTGTTTTTCTGTGTGACCTTGGGCAAGTTACTAATGTCTCTGTGCTTTCTCATTTGTAAAATTARTTAAACATAAGAACTACCTCACAAAGAGCTATGAAATCTAAATGGTCAGGTTGGAAGGACCTGTTCTCCCTGCACAGTAAGCATTTGATAAGTGTTAATTGCTATTATTTTCACTAATAAAAAAATTTACCACATAAGTATTGAAAATGCCGTATCAATGTTAAATATCAGAGCTGTTATTTAGAATCTCCATGTCTGTAATACCAAAATATATACACAGCATGTACTAAGTACTTCTCTGATGGAGGAAGAGAAGAAAGGTCTTAGGATGCAAAGCAGCTTTTCAGAAAAATGATTTCTGATATTCTGGGGAATAGATGAAATTTGTCCAGGAATGACTAGAAAAATTCATGTGGGGGGTCTAATAAATCTCAGGAAGAATTCATAGATAATAACAGGAAAGATATTCCATAGGAACTAGAGATGTTTAGCCCTACATATACCATTTATACCTGCACTACGGTTTTGTAGCAAGTAGCTACAAATGGCAAAAGATGCAAATAAAACTTTTGGTAAATTTAGGATAACCAGGTACTTACTGAGCATGCCTCTATAATTGAGGTCCATATCCCGGCTCTCCGACCGTACTTTAATAGCATCCAGAATGGCGTCCGGAGACAATAGTCCCGAGGGCCTCACAACATTGAGAAGTTCAGTGAGGCTCATCAAAGGTAAACGCACAGCCTGCATGATTTCCACATGATTCTCCTTTGAGTTGTGCTTACACCAGTTTAACAAGGCTAAGAAAATATCTTTTTCAGGAGCCGCAAATGAATCTCTTAACACAATGTTTAAAAGTGCTGTCTGAAAATGATAAAAAGGAAAAATCCAGTTATGATAGAGACCAACCATGTGTACAATCAGCCAGCCTAGGCTTTACAGAACTGCAGATATCACTTATATTTAGATAATTCCTTCTGACCTTCATCTTTCCTTATGCCACTTGCTTATTATGGCTGCCTTAATAATAAGAAAGGATGGTAGCACCTTTCCTTCCTGCCCAGGTACCTTGTACTACTAGATGGTCTCTCCAATACATCTGTACCTGTCTTTTTTAAAATAGCAGGAAGAAAAGTGACCAAGTGAAGAGCTCTCAATACATAACAAGTTCTTTAGGAGAACGTACACTTGTAAATCAATAAGATACATCTGGCATTTGAAAATTAAAAGACTTGAGCAAAATAGTTTTACTCTACCTATGATAGTGAATTTTGAGCCAGCCCCCCCCCCAAAAAAAGCAGTGTTTTAAATATATCAATGACTCATCAGACTTTCTTTATCAATTTTCCCTCTTGCTAAAAAAATGATTAAGGGCTATGGTCATGGCTCAACTGTGGAGTGCTTGACCGGCACATGTGAGGCCCTGGGTTCGATCCTCAGCATCACATAAAAATAAATAAATAAAGGTATTGTGTCCAACTACAACTAAAATATATACATATGTATTTTTTTTTAAAGAATGATTAGTTGCACTCTCCGTCAGAGAAATACAAAACCAAGAAGTAGTATGCAGTACCACAAAGGACCCTATTTGGCTGTCATCATCCTGAAAACAATCACCCAACAGCACAGTCTCTTTTGCACATAAAACTTGCCAGAAGACTCTTAAAAGAAAACAGAATCAATTAGCTTCTCTTCTTCTCTGATCTACAGTCCCAGCAAGCAGAAGCAAGTGGCTAGAMTGATATCATTGGTATCAAAGAGGTTCTTTATTTTTTGTTTTTAGTTCATTATTGTATTGCCACTGTACCCATATAAATAAAACAATGCATGCCTACAAACTACTTGCAAACAACAACACACCTTGGAAAGGGAGAGGAAACCTTCACTTGAGAGCACCTCCTGAGCATTTCTGTCCATGAACATGCAGCACATACAAGTTAACTTGGGAAGTGAGTAGAGACTGGCGACATCAAAAGTCATACAGACATTCTGAATGTTAAGTATGGTGCAGAGATACTCAGAAGTAGAATCCTCCAGCTCTGGAAATCCATATTTATGAGCCAGGCTCAAAAAGTCCAGCAGCACCTCCTCCTTCTCATCTGTCAGTGTCGCCCGCCCAGTGTAGATATATTTGAGTAGCATTGTGAATGCTTCTGCAGTGGTGTCTTGAAGAGGGATTTCTGCTTCAGGCTGAGACTCCCGCATTCCACCATACAGCAACGCTCTACACATCAGAGAAGAAACACAGGAGGAAAGCCTCAGTAAGATTTGCTACAAAATATGTGAAATAATAGTTATCAGTGTTATACAAACATACATTTGTTTAATGGCACAAAGATCCAGGTGAAAAAATGAAAAGTAATATTTTAAATGATTTGTTAAAGCAAGAAGAAGAATTTTAAAACCATTTGAATTAATTTCATAAACAACTGAACTAATGAGTTATCCTGAGAGCTTAAGATTAAATAGGAAATTGGAAGTCATCCTTTAAGAAGAACAATGAAATCAATATAAAGATGCTAAAAATCAATAGGCAGTTTAAAAACTAAATCTCTATACGAAAAGATGTAACCAGATCAAATTAAAAATAACAATCAGATGTGATTTTCCCCTGTCAGACTGGTATAAATTAGAAAGCCGGTTAATATCCAGAGCTTCGAAAGCAATAAGAAGGTTCTTTCCTGCACTGCTTTGAGAGTATATAAAAATGGGCCTCCATTTTCAGAAAGTAATTTAGTAATTGAAATCTGAAATGTGTATACCATTCAAGTCAGTAATCTCTCTCTCAAGACTCAACTATAGAGAAATAACATAGTAAAGGTAAATACAAAAGAATATATACTGAAACACTGGGGAAACCTCAATAGGAACATGGTTGAATATGGCTGAAAAATGATGACATAACATTCTATGCAGCCATTACAAAGACCAATGGAGACTGATAAGTACTGTCTTGGAAAGATCTATCTTGGTTATCTCCCAAGATATAGCGGACAAGTAAGGAAGGTTCCATGCTTACTATGAAAAGTTACTCTTGTATAGTTAGGTTGTCCTTACCTGGGAATTGATAGGCTTTTGTGACAGCGGTTAGGCCTCTCCTGACTGCCGATAGTTTGGTTTATTTTGCACAAGAATAGTGTTAAATGAGAATCTATCCAAGAAAGTCTTGGTAAAGGCTCTGAGTTTAGCCAATGAGTCATCAAAYATTACAAAGGTTCGATATTCAGAGAGACATTAAGAAAAAGTGAGGGAAGTATACTGCATTCACTCAATATGACCTCCCAATTTCTAAAAAGTATTTGAGTTTAAGAATATACTGATAACCCCAAAGATACCCACAGTTAGTTCCAATTATTTTTGAATACTGTAAACTGCAAGGTATACATATTCAAAAATATTAAACATAAAGCTGAAAAATTCTGACTTAATGAAGAGTAGACCTTCCCCCCCACACACACTGGGGATTGAACCCAGAGACACTTAACCACTGAGCCACACTCCCAGACCTTTTTTTTTATATTTTATTTAGAGACAGGGTCTCCCTTAAGTTGCTCAGGTCCTCGCAAAATTGCTGAGGCTGGCTTTAAACTTGAGATCCTTCTGCCTCAGCCTCCYTAGCTTCTGGGATTTACAGGTGTGTGCCATGATGCTCAGCAGGAGGAGACTCTTAAAAAACACTTTAATAGGGACTGGGGCTGTAGCTCAGTGGTAGAGCGCTGGCCTAGCACGCATGAGGCACTGGTTTCGATCCTCAGCATTATATAAAAGTAAACAAATAAAGTAAAGGCATTCTGTCCATCTACAACTACTACCAAAAAAWTTTTTTAAAAAAACACTTTAATAGTAGTAAGTGGACCAAAAGTAAGAAAACTTAAAGATACACAAAAGGAAAAATATGCAGAGGTCAGAGGCTGGTAAAAATAAGGACCTGGCCAAGGTCAGATGAGTTGGCTAAGGTACTAAGGAAACTGAAAAGGAGAGTGTTAACAGGAATCTGTAACAAAACTCCTCCCGTCTTTTCTAAGCTCCTGATTTCATCTATAGTAGTATTTTATTTGAACAAGATGGAAGTGTTGAAAATGTTCATAAGGGACTCTAGCAGTTCTAGCTAGAACACATATTTCCAAGAGACACACTTTATTACAACATGTGTGAATCTGGGTGTTGCTGTTTTGCCATCTTAGTTTGTTTTATGCAAAACAGTTAACCTTCAGCAGTTGGGAGAGGCCTAAGCACCTTCACAATCGCTGTCACAAGAGTCTGACAATTCCCAGTAAAGGACAAGTTAACTGTACAAGAGGGAACTTTTCACAGTAAATATGGAACCTTCCTTACTCACCTCCTGTACCTCAGGAAAGAGTCAAGACAGATTTTATAAAAGYCAATGTGCCATTTTCGCTAGAAGGCAACTAAAATTTTAGAGGCATGGGCCTCTCTCCATTTTTAGAAGCTTCTTAGGAAAAATCTATAATTCTATGGACCATTTGTTACTTGTAAATAAATAAGGTCCATTATCAGAGATACATTATCACTCAGTCAATAATTCAGAGACAATTCCCTTATAACTAATGTAAGTAAAATGAAGGGTAATTAAGAGATCAGTATAATCTGAAAATAAAGGATCTAATAACAAACAATAGCTGCATTTATGTGGGATTTTTACATTAATTAAGTATATATTTTGTTAGTCTTAGTTCTAATATAACTATGAAACTTAGTCTCCATCCCTATTTGTTTCTTTTAACTGAGTTTAAAAGTTTACTCRTCTTACAGATCTCTCAAGTTACCTACAGGTCCTAGGCCTCAGCAGCCCGAATCCAAGAGGCATACATGTTCATTAGCAGGTTGGCAGCTGAGTATTACCTAAATAACAAGAAGTCTATCTGCCAATCAGTGATGTGAAAGGCATACAATCCAAAATTAAAGGAATTCTGTTTTTAAAAAAAGTTCATTTACTGTTTTGAATATAAAATTGCAGAAATACAGACTACAATGAAATCACCTATATCCTTTTGTATTTTGCATAAATATTATTCAGGTTCACTAAATTATTTTATAATTCTATTAATYTGAAAATCAAATAAAAATTATATAAATACCTAACTCCTGCTGTGTGCAGGTCCCAGTAGAGAAGCTAAGGCCACTAGCATTGTTCTTATACAATATTAGTCACAAATGTTAAAGCAAAAATGCATGTATATATTTGAATAAAATAAATGTCATTCCATGTAGTGGGGGAAAAAGACAGTCTAAGAAATATTCTTCATATCTTAAAAAATAGTCAATGGGCACTGTCTGGCCTGGGAAGCCTTCAAACTCCTTAACTCTAAGATGGTTCCTAAAGGAAAAGGTGATTCTAAAAAATAATAATAATTTTTAAAAGTCTACCAAGATGAAATTCTTAGAGAGGCTGAATTAAAAGTTTGCTAGAATTTGCTAGTTTGCTTAGGTGCATATTTTTCAGAGTAGAAAATACCAGTGTTTTCTACACAACGACTTAAATTTTCAAAAAAACATTACACACTTACCGAAAATATTGACATCTGGCTGCTAAAATTACCCTGTGGGCAGGAAAACGTTTCTTTTCCACGACAAATGTGACATCACCATATTCTTCCCCAATCAACAAGGCACCGATGTGCTCAGACAAAATGTGCACGTGATCAATTTCCCCCACTGCAGTAAAGGGGCGAAGAGGGTGGCTGTTACTCATCTTGTAGAACAGACGGTAGTCACTGATCTAGCACACAAAGAAGGGGTAAGAGTTAGCATGGAAGACAGTGCACTCAGAAAGCCACCTGATAATACAACTAAGCAAAAGTTCAAAGTGCTCAAAAAATTAACATGAGAGAGCACTCATCAATGGTTGCTTTATTAACTGATTTATTCTGAGAAACACTTTCAGGCCTTGTCACAGTGGAAAAGCAAAATTCCAGGATCTTCAAACATTCAGGCAATTAAAACCWTCATATTCTAGAAAACTGAGCCAAGTACAGGTCCCACATTCCTTATTGTACCCGCAGGAAAAAGAAAAAAAAAATCAACATTATTTTACATACATTTATTTAGTAAGGTTTAGCATAACTATACCCAGATACACCCAGGCATAGATCTAGGCCTCAATTACAAACAGAATAAATAAAATTATCAGATTTCACAGAAGATACTTTGGTGTAAAACCATCTTAAATACTCTCCAAAAAGTAATCTTCTGGAATCACAAAAATAACTTGACATTAATGAAAGTCTACAGTAGCATCCAAGCCCCTCTCAAAAAAGAAGAACTCCAGAATTTTTCTCAAGACTATAATTTCCGGGCTGGGGTTGTGGCTCAGTGGTAGAGCTCTTGCCTTGCAGATGTGAGGCCCTGGGTTCAATCCCCAGCACCACATAAAAGTAAATAAATAAAATAAAGGTATTGTGTCCATGTACAACTAAAAAAAAATATTTAAAAAAAAGACTAATTTCCATCTCAATCTTGTAGTTCTGATGATTAGGTTACTAGTGTTTACCAGAACCTCACTACATTTTATTTCACTTATAGGCACTTCCTGACTTTTATACGCAATGTCTTTCTACAAAGTAACTGAAAATCAAAGGTTATAGGTTGATTAATAGTTTTACATGTTAGAAAGGGGATTTATGATTTTAGAAAGCTAAAAATACTTATGTTTTAAGCCCCTAATGTATTTGCAGGTACTTCTCTTCCATTATTATATGGAGACTTTACTAGCATTCAGTGCCCCCGGTGGAGAGAGATCTGGTTGCCCAGAGGCGACTCAGCTACTCCTCGGTTGCACCAGACACTAAGGGAATTGAGCCGGATATGTTTTCCCCAGTGGCCGCATATACCTTCATGAACTCTCTATTTGGACCAGAATCAAGGCTTTAAAACTTCCATATCCAGATCCATTATTTGCAAGGTAAAAAYAGCCTTTCTGTCCTACAACTACAATGAAGAGCTTCACAGACCAAGTTCCTGAAGCTACCTACTATCACACGCCTGCCCCCAACAAAGGAATCAACAGCAAGGACTGTGATGCAGGAGAACAGGGAAGGACCAGCTAGCAAAGAGACATCCACTCAGGTAAGTGAGAGAGCTCCTGGTCCCCTTATAATAGGTAGGAGCATCAGGGGACTAGCAGCATCCTCCTGTTATTGCCAGGACAAATCCCTCTCCTTCTAGTGCAGCCTCAAAACTGAAATGTCTCTAAGTCACTTGTGTATGAAGGACCAAATTCACCTTCAAAGACTCTGTTTAGGAGCATAGCAGGTAATGTGTGCTACTGTAGTCTAATGTGTAAGACACATTACGAAGGAGGGCAAACTTTCTGCAAAGGATCAGAGAAAGTATTTTAGGTTTTGTTCACTATACAGCMTTTGTCACAACCATACGACTCTGCCACGGGAGCCTAAATGCAGCCACAGACAACAAATAGCCTTACAGAACAAGGCTGTTTCAGTAAAACTATTTGTTAGAAAAAAAGAACTGGAGAGCTGGGGTCGTAGCTCAGTGATAAAGTGCTCGCCCCGCATGTGGAAGGCACTGGGTTCGATCATCAGCACCACATAAAAATAAAATAAAGGTATTGTGTCCACCTACAACTAAAATTAAAAAAAAAAAAAAAAAAAAAAAAACTTGAGCTGGGCACAGCGGCACACACATGTAATCCCAGTGGTTTAGGAGGCTAAGGCAGGAGGATCGAAAGTTCAAAGCCAGCCTCAGCAACTTGGTGAGGCCCTAAGCAACTCGGTGAGACCCTGTCTGTAAATAAAATACAAAAAAGGGCTGAGGATGTGGCTCGGTGGTTGAGTGCCCCTGGGTTCAATCCCCAATACCAAAAAAAAAAAAAAAAAAGACCTGGATTTGGTCAACAGGCCATTTTGCCAATCCCTCCCTAATGTGTGATCAAGAACTGACTATGCTCTAGACAAAGGATCAGATGAGGTTTTTTCATTTTTTCTGCTGGGTTACCCAACTGATATTCAAAATAACATGTTCATTTCTTATGTTAGCTAGGAAATTCTGAAAGCTACTAGAAACTCACTCCAGAATACTATTCTTGTTACCAGGACTGCACACATTACTATCCATTATTCCGATGAAGGTACAAACACGGTTTGGGTGAAAGGATGCAATGCATAGTCCTAGTGAACACACTCTGGTATGAATCTCTTAACATTTTGTCTAGGTCATGGCCAAGACTCAAATTATTGACAGAATAACTCTTGCCAAACAATGATTGATTTTTGGTTAACTAGCTCAAAARGGAAATTTACAATTCTTCAACTGATATATCATAAACATTAATAGTACATATGTAAATATCTATCTTAATAGGTTTCTCCATCTCTTCACTTCTCAATACATATAATTTCATTTGCTAAATTTACATTTTAATTATGTTTTTCCAAGTGGAGACATAAAGAGAATATTGCTGGGTATGGAAAATAGCCACTTAGTGTGGAATAAACAGAATTTTTTATTTTATTAGCAAATAGAAATAATTTTAATTAGACCAGTGATTCTCAGTGAGTTGCCACACATAGCAACTATATGGGGAACTTAAAAAGGGCGGGGGGGAATGCTCGAGTCCCATCCTGAGAGATTCTTATTGAATGAGTCTGGAATGGAGCCCAGGCATTGGAATCATCACTCTGAAGTGATTCTAATGAGCAGCCTGGAGAAGAGCCACTGATTTAAACAGTTGTTGTAGGTACACCCTATGGTTTGGATGTTGTTTTTCCCCAGGGGCCATGTGTTGGAGGGTTGGTCCTGAGGATGATGGTGGTGGGAGTGATATGTAACCTTTAAGAGGTGGGGTCTAGTGGGAAGTCCTTTGGGCCATTGAGGGCATTGCCCTGGGACAGGACTAAAGTAGTTCTGAAAAGACTCTCTAGAGGACTGCTATAAAAAGAACAAGCCTGGAATCACCTAGCAGCTCTCTGGCTTCCCTGTTTCAAGATGTGATTTCTTTTGTCAACATGCATTCTCAACAATGTTGGCATGAGGTCCTCAGCCAAAGCCAGTGCTACACCCTGGAACCTCTAAAACTGTGAGCTAAACAAACCTCTCTCCTTTATASTGATCCTGCTTCAGATACTTAATTATAGTAATGCAAAGATGGCTATTATAGTTTACATCCCTTAGTCCACAAGTTCACAAAATATCCACWGAGAAATTCATTTAGGATATAATTCTATTATGAATATTATTTACAAAGGGGTTAAAGACGCTAACAAAGTTATCAATTCATAGCTTAAAYGGAAAAAGTTGGGCTAGCTTATTTACAACCTGGTAGTTGGGGTCTACCTGCTTTTACACATGAACTTTCTTAAATGCATATTTTTTGAAACCACACATGAATAAAGTTAATTTTTAAGCCACAAATTATTTTGATAAGCTTTTGAATTGGAAAAAATATTTTTTTGACTTTTTAATATTTTTTATGGTTATTTAATTTTATTCTTATGTGGTGCTGAGGATTAAACCTAGTGCCTTACATGTGTGAGGCAAGCACTCTACCACTAAGCTACAGCCCCAGCCCCTGGAAAAATATTTTTAAAGTCTAAAAAGTGAAAMTGTATTGACTTACTTCTTCAGTTTCATAAGTTATTCTGCCATTACTTATACATGTGACCTTTGACAAACATTTAACTTCTATGAGACTATTTTCACACCTGTAATGACATAGATATAGAAAATAGTTTTTTAAGTTACATTTTATAACTCTGCCACACTGCCTTTTAATTTGTTTTAGCTTGAATATAAAATCAGGATAATTAAGCTATAAAACCAGAATATAACATGCGAATCAAAATTTATGTGGAGGAATGGAAATTTCRAAAAGTTCATACAAATACATTATTATTGGGATAGATAGTCCCTAAAATGGCTGCTTTCAATTCTCTTCCCTTCCCTATACAAACATACCATCTGCCTACTGAGAAGTGGATTCCATTTCCATTCTCCCTGAATCTTGGATGGTCCTGGGATCACAGAAGTGACTGTGCCTTGAGAAAGTTGGGCAACTTCTGCTTTTGCCCATTGAGAATCCTGAGTTACCTTGATCATGTGGAGAAGTCAGATGGAAAATGAGAGGCCTTGATACTGCCCAAGGAAGAACCAAAGAACCCTGGGTGAAATGAAAACCAAGTCCCCAGACATATGATCTCAGTCAAGTCATTACAACCTGCTCACTGTCATCAGAGCCCCTCTAGTCAAGGGCATAGATACGTGAGGATGTTCTACCTTCAGCAGACATCATGTGGTGCAGACACACACCAACCCAGCTGGGCCCTATTCAAATTCCTGATCCACAAAACTGTATTAAATATAAAATCATTATCCATTTAAGCCATTAATTTTAGAAAGYTTTGTTACGTAGCAATAGTTAACAAAGAATTATTATGTGAAAAGTATTTCATTTACTTTATGAATACTGCAATTGTAGAAATTTCAAAATTGGTACACAAGAAGCTTAAGAGTCYGCTTTATCACCTATAGAGAGGGAAGAAAACAAAACAAAACTCCAAGGTACATCATCAAAGAATAATTTGTAACTGAAATTAGTTTTTTGTGTTCATTCATTTTAAATGTTTATTGAGAGAAGAAACCTGGAGAGACCATTAAGAAAGACACATACTTTACAGAGAGGTAGATAATGCCATTGGGACTGGCTCTGAACTTCCACTATGGTGTATGTTTTTTTTTTTTTTAATTATGCAATGTGAAATATTG